AAACACCTTTCCTCCTCTCTATTTATCTACCTTTACTAACTCCAATATTTCCCACTTCTTTAGTCATCACCCCTCAAAATACAGAGAGAAAACACACAAACACAAGCAACTCTTTTTACTCATCATGGGAAATTATAGGTTTAGATTATCAGATATGATGCCAAATGCTTGGTTTTACAAGCTCAAGGACATGAGCAAAATCAGCAGCAACAGAAGCAAAGGGCATAACCACACCACCTCAATTTCTTCAACTTCATCATTCTCATCATCAAATCTTCAATCAGATAAAAATATAAAACAACCCCACCACCTCACTACTTACCCAAGAAAATCATATTACATTTCAAGAAACCTTAGTCCAACAAATAATAACCATGAAATATTCTCCCAAAATCCTTCCTCAAACAAACCAAAACTCTCTGACAATAATATTAATTTTTCAAAGAAAAGGCGTAGCACTACAAGGAGAAGAACTAATTCTCCTAAAATTGTCACTTCTTCTGTTTCAGCTAGTTGTAGTTGTCGTGCTTCTCTTGAATCAGTTTGGACTAAACCTGATTCCACCCCTGAAGATTATCCAAATTCACCTAATGCCCCCTCATCTTCTTCTTCTGAAACATTAGACCCCATAATTTCACTTTCACCATCTTGTGGTTGCAGAGTTAATGACATGAACAAAGATTCTCTCAATTATGATCATGGGTTTACGTCTATTTCCAAAATTGACCTTCCCCCCATCATAACCAAACCCGAAAAATTCAACGGTTCGGCCCAAGAAAAGGATGAAAAACAGAGGATTTCTACTGTGAGAAGAGTGTCAGTGAGTTCAACAACTGGTGTAAAGCTAAGAACAAACTCTCCAAAAATAACAAACAGCAAGAAAATTCAAGGAGTTAGCAGAAAGAGTGTTAGTTCAAGAAGAAGGAGTAGTAGTAGTGTTTCAGAAAGTTTTGCAGTGGTGAAATCATCAAAAAATCCACAGAAAGATTTTAGAGAATCAATGGTGGAAATGATAGTGGAGAATAATATAAGGACTTCAAAGGATTTGGAAGAACTTCTTGCTTGTTATCTTTCTTTGAATTCAGATGAGTATCATGATCTTATTATTAAGGTGTTCAAGCAAATTTGGTTTGACATCAGTGATATTCGGCTAAAGTAAATATAAAAGGGAAGCCCGGTGCATTGAGTTGCCGCTAAGTACGGGTTCGAAAGGTCGGACTGTCTATTGTATGCAGCCTTACTCTACATTTCTATAAGAGGTTGTTTTTACAGCCCGAACCTATGATCACCTCATCACGTGTTAACAACTTCACCGGCTACGTAAATATGAATCTACTATTTCCTTTTCTAATAGTCATAATATGTGTATAGGTGGAAAATCCACAATGTTATTATTTCCTTATTCTTAATTAGAGTTCTGGAATTTGAGCCAAAGAGTTTGAATGTGGAATGAAGAAAACAAACAAAGGTACAAAATCCAATCTTGTAACAATATAATCTGTCTGACTATGACGTGCTCTTGTACATGAATGGATTAGTACGTGTTGTCTGCTGGTAATGGAGGTAAAAGTCTTAAGGCAAAACAAACGCACCTTCGCCGAAATTGTAATTTGATTATTTGCCCTAGTATATGATCACCTATTTAATATTTCAATGTTCTGCCTCTTGGTCTCTTTTTTATATTCTTTTATTTTCCTGTTTATATTTATACTATTTTCTTATTAGTTTATTAAAAAACGAATGAGATATATTTACATTTGAAAATAATTAACTCTATGCTTTTCGTTTTATCTTTACCGAGAAGCTTTTATAGCCACATAAATATTATGAAATGCTTAAGATCATAAGTTTTGAAAGTCGACTTCATACCGATTATTCAAATTCACATATATAGGAACGGATGGAGTATATCAGAATAAATGAGGGCAGCCCGATGCACAAAGTATCTCCCGTTCACGCAGGTCCGGGAAAAGGTTGCACCCCAAGGAGGTGTAATGTAGGCAGCCTACCATAATGCAAGCATCCGTGGCTGATTTCAGCTCGAACCTGTGACCTATAAGTCACACGAAGATGACTTAATCGTTGCTCCAACATTCCCCTGCTGTATCAGAATGCTTATATAAAAAGTTTATGCTATGATAACATCACCTTTCATTTCTAGCATTGAAGGTGTACATGTATTATATAAAGATGAATTAAAAACCTAGGTGGTATGATATGCATTGATCTACCAGAAAATTTTCTTTAAGAAAAGTTGTTACCAGACTAAATTTGGGTTCACATTTGTGCCGGGAAATATGCTCTCTGACAAAAACTACTTCATACTCATGGCTTGAACTTGAAACTGCTAAATAAGAATGAAGGATTACGAAGACACCTTGTTATCCCTAAAGTAACTTAATATGTTGAGCGACGAGCCTTCCACACTGGATATGGACCAAACTGTCTCACGACATTCTGAACCTAGCTCACGTACCGCTTTAATGGGCGAACAATCCAATTAATCCTTGGAACTTAATTATGTAATTTAGTCATTTAAATGAATCCTCGTTTTCGAATCTCATCAAATTGGACCCCCCCCCCCCTCCCCAAAAGGAAATAAATCATCATTAATCACTTCAAATTCTTTCATTTCCATGTAAAGATCATTCCCTTCACGAGTACGTTCACTCACTCCTCCAAATACGGATACGTCCTCATGCATTCCGCCACAACTCTTATTGGTATTAAATTCCATTACTACTATAGAATATAACCGATTATCTACAGAAAAAGGACCTCACACCTAACTCACTGACATTTTTTTCAATCAATCTCTAGCTACAGGAGCAAAAGAAGATACCCTTTTAGGACAAATTTCAGTTGCTAATGTGTTTTCTACCTCAGAATCTTATATGTTTTGCTCTGACACTATCTTCAGCTAGCTTTAATTAAGTCACTCCTCACATAGCATAATACATGCAAAAGGTAAATATAGACAGAAAGGCTACTGAGAGAAGGATTTAAACTATTCTATGTAAGTTTCTGTATCTTTCATTTATTTATAAATACAAGTTTTCAAATTTTATGTACTGTGAGTCCGCATGGGCTTAAAGAAGCTTTTCCAATTTCTGCATTTCGTCTAAAGTTAAGAAGAGGAGTTTGAGTACAGAAGCAAAAGTTGCTTCGAAAGTTACAAAAGTTTGTGTCAATTTTTTAAACCTAAAAAGCTATATCTAGAGTTTTATATTTAATTTAGATTAATATGTACAAGCATTTAGAGCAAGCTTCTGTTGAGGGATTGCAAAATGTGTTCCAAGGGCTAACTAAAAAAAGTGTTTAAGTTCTACATATGTACTAATGGTATAAAAATTATTTAATTTACATCTTAAAAAAATCACTAAACAGTCTTTTGCAGAAAAAGGTAAGTCTGCGTACAATATATCCTTGTGGTCTAACCCTTCTTCGGACCCCGAGCATAGCTCGAGCTTAGTGTACCGGGCTGCCTTTAACGGCTAATACCATTTGAAATTACAGTCAAACCTTTTTATAACAGTCTCGTTTGTTTCGATATTTTTTTATTGCTATAGTGAAGTGTTGTTATTGAAAATATATATTATAATATAACATGAAAAATTTATTTTAAAGAAAACTTGATCATTATAGTGAAGTGTTGTTACATAGGATAGGATGACTGTATTTTCCATGTTTCACACACATATATGCATGCTCATGTATAAACTTTAATCTGGAAAAGCTTAATGTAAACCCAAATATGTGATCCCAAAAGTTCTTTTATTTGGAAAAGCATAGTGTAAGAAGGGGCTTTTATCCAGATTATGTCCTCACTTTAAGTAACAAAAGGAAAACAAGAATGATTACTTTGTTACCTGCCTATTGATCGGTTGTGCTTTATTTGGGTGGTGCTAAGAGAAATTAAAATTGCACATTTCCACTCTAGGTAGGCACCAAGTTTAAAGTGCAAGTTTTATGAAATACTAGCATTATTAAGTGTATAAGTAACTGAGAATTTTTATAATGTTTGTTACAGTCATTATTATGAAAAGCAGCTCGGCATATTGTGTTCACGTAGAATTCAGGGAAATGCCATACTTCAAGGGGTGTGATGTAGAGTCTACCTTAACACAAATATTAGTGGTTGGTTTCACGCAGAGGCGGATTCAGGATTTAAACTTAATGAGTTCTACTTTTAAGATTTTTAGTATTGAACACATTATAATTTTAAAGCTATAGGTTCATATCTACTATTTATTTAAATAAATTTTACGTATAAATTAATGCTCTGCGTCGAAAGTTATGAGTTCAATTGAATCCGTTCTTATAGTGCTATATTCACCTATGGTTTCACAGCTCGAACCCGTAAGCTATAGGTCATATGAAGATAATTTTACCGTTGCTACGAAGCTTTCCTTCTTTATAGTCATTATTGATTTATTTTATTTTGTTTAAAATCTAGAAGATGAATACGGAGTGCGATTGAACCATACTAGTTTAAAGATAAAAATCAACTTAGTTATAATCATCGATCTATAATTTCATTACTATTTACTAGACCCAGTATCATGAAAGTTTCCACTGCCATGATGTGATTCTTGTTGGCCGAACAATTTTAAGGTAATTATAACTTTGGAAAATCTCAACTCAATTCTTGTAAACTTGTTGTCAACTCATTTTCCAGCTAATAGTATTATTTATGTCTTTGAATTTTTTTATTGTATCTGTAGGGAAAACTTATAATTTTTATAGGTTTGAGAAACTCATTGTTCTAATAGATTTGGAAAAGAAAAACTTATTGTATTTGTCGGATTGGAAATTTTTTTTCTCTTATAGCTTTGGGACTGTTTGAGATTTATACATAGATGTTGTAGTTGGTGATTTTATAGATTGTAATTGTTCGACCAAAAAGATTTAGACTTTTTATTGAACGAATTAAATAAGAAGATTTAAGGCAAATCCTAGCCAAAGATAATTTACCCTAGATCTAAGATAGAAGATAAGAATAAGCAAACATAACTGAACATAAGATTCAACTATAATAATGATTAAATCCTATTATGTAAGGAAAGGATGATGATTTTCATAATATTAAATGATAACAAAGAATACATAGACGAAAAGGGCAACCGTTATTGAACAAGGTTAACCCCCATACACTCTGATCTAGTGCAACCAATGATGAATATTGGGGATCTAAGCTTCCTTGCTTCTTTCTCTTAGCAGGGAGAAAGAGATGAAGATCTTCCTTGATCTGTAAAGATATGTCTATCTCTGTGTGTGAATGTTTGTGTTAGCCCCATTTTCTTCTTCTTCTCACTTAGTTTATATACTAGGTATTCTCATTTACCCAACGGCCATTATCCATATCATCTAAGTCATTTGACTGTATTACTGGCTGACCCTCTGAAATGTCGTAACATCCAATTCGCCGTTCAAGCATTCTGAATACACGACCTCGGTCGTGGCCAAGGTGCGTGTCGTTATAGCGTTGTATGGATACGACTTCGGCCCAAATGATTTTTTCCATTCCTCTTCATGCGAAATCTCGTCTGGTCATATTTCGACTGATACAGTTAGTCCCTCCGCCTATTGGGGTCGTCTTTTGGCGAGCTCGATGGGCGGACTCTGTCGATTCGAAAGTTGTGAGATATCTGAGAACTTTATGCGAGAGGCGAGTTCCTCGTGACGAGTTAGCGACGTGACGTTTCGAGAGCTGCATCAGACCGTCACGTCAGTTCCGAATGTCATTAAAACTCCTCATGCGTCATTATGGCGCACTTTCTATGCATTGCATCGTTTTTCGTGCCATTTCCATTTTCAAAATGGCGGCGTTTGGTTTTCCCGCTCAGGGTACTTATATCCCAATAAATAGGGGAAAATCTTACATTTGAATATTTTCCCAATCGCTCAAGAGAGACTTTTGCAGCTTTTCTTCTTCTCCTTCAGTTTTTCACACTTCTTTTTCTGTTAAAAATTCCTGTGGCCCCTACCTTTTTCCCTTATCATTCCTGCTTTTCGCAACCAAAGAAGAGATGGCTAGTGCCTCCTCCAACCCTGATAGAGCCGTTGGTGCTCCGGTGTCGGAAAACGATATAACCCTACTCGAAGAGGGAGTGGGTCAGGCGGAGGACGAGAGTTTTCCGACTGTAGATGAGGTGGTTCCTCGCCTAGGGAAGGCGAAGACTGACTTCAATAGCCCTGCTGGGGATGAGCCGGAACCTGTTCTTTCTACGATGGTGTCACGATCCAAGTTCTCCCTCCATGAACTATCGTGACGACACCTAGTCTCTACGACTAGGTAAGCCTAGCAAATTGCGGAAAAGGAAAATAAAATACAAAAGTAGCAAGTTACGATTAAAACATAATGAAAGAGTTTAGAATGCCGCTCGGCATATACAATACACACTCTCAAAACTAAATCAAAACTCCCAAAACCCGAAATCTCATGAAAATCACAAGCTAGAGAAAACTACATAGTGTTCTAACAAGTTCTCCCTCCATGAACTGTCGTGACAACACCTAGTCTCTACGACTAGGTAAGCCTAACAAATTGCGGAAAAGGAAAATAAAATACAAAACTAGCTAGTTACGATTAAAACATAATGAAAGAGTTTAGAATGCCTCTCGGCATATACAATACACACTCTCAAAACTAAA